CTGTCCTCCTGCTATTCATTCATTCATTAAATAAATATTTATGCAGCACTTCTCTGTGCCAGGCCCTGAGCTAGGCGTGGAGAACCCAGAAATGACTCAGACATCTCTCCTGTCCTCGGGACCTTGTAAGCTAGAAAGGGAAGAGTTACATAGACGGAGACCGTGGTGTGAGACGGAGAGCGCTGCGGAGGCTGAGGTACACGGGCCGAGCACACTGCCCGGTTAGAGCAGAATCGCTGATGGAGGTCAGAGGGGAGAGGTCAGCTTAGTTGAAGGAATGAACTGTTTTCTGGAGCAACTAAAATTCAGTCTGGGCCTTGAAAGACAGAGGGGTTGCAACATTTAGAGTTGAGAAAGGAGTAAACGAAGAAGAAAACGACATCACGCAGAAAAGCGTGAAGACAGGAGGACTGGCTTTAGCTGGGTTTTGAGGTGGATGTAGTGGTGGTGCTAGTGCCTCCCAGGTGGTTAGGAGGTTCCAGTGAGACGATAAATGTACGAGGAAGGTGTGAGCTACCGACCGCGGTTTGTTCTGTAGGTGGAGTGGGCAGGGGCGGCCCCCCTGGGAGGCGGCCTGAAGCTGAGATGGAGTCAGTCAGGGAAAACCCCGGGCACCCGGCTCCCGCGAGCAGGAGAGGGGCTGCCGGCGCCCCCACGTCTGCAGTGGCGCCCCAGACACAGGAGGCAGCGCCCGACCTGGTGCGCAGGAAGGAGGTGCAGAGAGGGAGTCAGGAGAGAGGGCCCAGGCGAGGACAGATCAGACGTTCGGGGAGCCAGCGGAGGAGGTGAAGCAGGCGAGTGGCGTCACCTGATTATTAAAAGTAGGGGGGCTCCTGTTTACTCTGTAGACAGGGTGGGAGGGTGAGGGGGCGTCACCAGGCAGCCCCCACGTGACCGTTTCCTCGGTTACTCGCCCAGTGGGAGCAGGTGCCTTCCTTGGCAGGACGGCGGAGCCTTTGGCGGAGCTCCTTCAGCCTCACGGCCAAACCCCAAAGATGAGAAAGGCCCCAAATATCGGCAGAACCAGGCAAAACCAGCCCAGAGCCCGTGGCTGTTGAAGGGACGATGAGGAAGCTGAAGCTACAGAGGTACAGACACCCACTGAGAGGCAGCCCTGCCCTGAGGCTCCCGACCAGGACCGCACCTGACAGCACCCCGGGCTCCTTCCTCCGACCTCCTCAGAGCGTACGGTTCACTTTCCACAAAACCCTGGTACTAAGCGCCCGCAGCCCAGCTCACTTCTCCTGGAGCAGGGAAGCTCATAGTCATCGCTGGGAGAATCAGTGACTTCACCCACCACCCCACCTGGGCACCTCCGAGGGGAGTTCTCTGGGGTCCGGGCTCAATGGGAGGGTCACACAGATGCCTCGGGTTCCAGGACCAAAGGAGTGAACAGGCCCAAATCCAAGAAGCGAGGAGAGCGGTCCAGAAGGTCCCCGCCCTGAAGGAGTGAGGGTGGATGTCAGCAAGCCAGGGATCCAGGGACCAGGGGACGACAGCAAGCAGGCCAGGAGCCGACGGGAGGGGCTGTCCCAGCTGCGCGTGGGGGCCCAGCAAGGCCTGGGACGGACGTGGTTTAACATCCAGGTTTAGGGGGTGCCCTACAGGCGACGCAGCTGTTGCCCCGCATGCTCTTCTTTAAGGCAAAGTCGGGTTTCGGGTGCTGTTCAGGGGGGTTGATAGTTTTCCTAGTTGGATTTAGCTTTCTAATGAGCAGACATGAATATGCCACTAAGACAGCCGTGGGCAAACTACGGCCCGCGGGCCAGATCCAGCCCGTTTGAAATGAATAAAACTAAAAAAAAAAAGACCGTACCCTTTTATGTAATGATGTTTACTTTGAATTTATATTAGTTCACACAAACACTCCATCCATGCTTTTGTTCCGGCCCTCCGGTCCAGTTTAAGAACCCATTGTGGCCCTTGAGTCAAAAAGTTTGCCCACCCCTGCACTAAGACCTCTAGTCCTAGAGACCAAACAAAAACACTTTAAAATCCAGCCCTAGCTGGTGTTGCTCAGTGGATAGAGCGTCGGCCCGTGGACTGAAGGGTCCTGGGTTCAATTCCAGTCAAGGGCACATGCCTCCATTGTCGGCTCGATCCCTGGCCCGGGTTGGGAGCATACAGGAGGGGCGACCAATCGATGTGTTTCTCTCACATCGATGTTTCTCTCTGTCCCTACCCCTCCCTTCCACTGTGTCTAAAAATCAATGGGAAAATGTCCTCAGGTGAGTATTAACAACAACAAAAATAAAATAAAATCTGATAAAATTGAGAAGATCTCAGAGTGTAATATACAACATTTCAGATCTGATTTTTTAGGTTTTCCATGTATTTTTAAAAGAAAACTTTATGCCTGACATGAATGAGGCCTTTTACCTTTTTTATTATAAACATTCAGGCTTAAAGTGATTATAACTGACAGTTAAGACCAACAGAAGCCAGTGGCCTGTTCGTGGACAAATGATCTGCATTTCAGACTAAATCAAAAGTAAACATTCTCTCGAGCCCCCTCAGGACTGCACTAGGCTGTGATGGCCTTGCAGCACCCGCCCCCGCCCTGCAGGGAAAGGTCTTCTCCCTGAAGCAGTGACACGTGTGTGCCTTGAGCCGTCTCCATTCAGTCCGAGTTCTTGGACGCTCGCTCGATTGATTTTTCTGAAGGACCATTTTCGCTCCATCAGGAGAATGTTGCCGAAGATCTTGGGGTGTGTTTCTTTATGAGCTATGATTAGTGTTCCCCTCAGTAGTGGAGTGGGGTAGGGAGAGGGGGACGTATTCTGATGACTTTACTGACTTTTTTTTCTTACTCTTTTGAAAAAGTAATAGCGGTGAATTCATGTCATCTGATAAATGCTTGGAAAGACTAGGTATTAAGGCGCCTTAAATGTTAAAGCCATATTCCTGAATACCTGCATGTGGGTGTGCTGACAGTCCCTTTAAAAGCAGCCCCAGCAGTAAGGGGGGGGGGGGGGGGGGGCAGCCTTCTCGTTCACAGCAGCAGGACTTTCAGCAGCGTCATGTCACTCATCCCCGAGGCTTCAGGCAGAAATGTCTTCTGACTTGTCACTGGCTCTCAGAGGCCGTCGGTGCTAAACAAACACAGACCCCTTGTTGGAACCTATATAATAAACTCAGACGCATTAGTCCCTGCTCCGTCTCCCGTCAGGGTCTGACCCCCACCTCTCTGGCTATGGGGGGAGGAAGGGCCAACGGACACACACTCACGGCGTGCAAGGTTCTGAGGTGCCCGTGAGCAAATCAGTGCGATTGCTTACCCTTTTGTTCTCACTGAGTCCCGTCAGATAGAAAGCTTCTCCACGATGGTGCAAGGTTACAATCAGTCTGTGTACTCGTTTAACTGTGTTCAGTTCAGAGAAGGAGGCCTGGAGGGAAAGAGGTCATCCTTCCAAGTCCTTGGGCGTCCCCTGCCCGTGCCACCAGCACGTTTGTATGACCGAAAGCCTGTCACCTAGTCACTAGGTCTCGGGGGGGCCTCCTGGGGAGCAATCTGGGTGCCGTTTCCGGGGGGGGGAGTGAATGATTGGCAGCCATGGCGCTAGCACCACAGGTTCGTGGTCAGTCGGTGCTGCCTGGGACCCGAGCTGAGGGGTGAGATGGGTGTGCAAGCCCTGGCTTCACGTTGGCTCCAGGAGTTCATTTCCCAGCACGTGCTTCTGGCTCCCCCACATGCTGCCCCATGGCTGCTCAGCGGATTTCCTGGTCGTTTGCATGACGCTCATCCAGATGCTTGTTCGGGAGTCTGGCCCCACGCCCTGCCCTGCCCTGATGGTGAAACTGCCCCAGGGGGTGGCCATGTCTGCCCACCACAGGGCCCCAGCACAGCCGTGGGTTGTGAGGCCTCTGCTTGCCTGAGAGCTGCCTCCCCTGGGTGCCCTTTGTGCGTCCTGAGGAGGCCATGCTGGTTTTGGCCTCTGGTCCCAGCAGTGCCGTGGACTCTGTCCAGACCTGGAATCCAGCAGAGCAGGGCTACCCGGCTTCGGAGACCGGAGGCTGGTGGCGACCTCAGCCCTGGCCGCGCGTGCTCAGTGTGCACAGCGGCAGGGAGGCCTCGAGGGCTCTTGCTCCCTGTTAACAGCTCAGGTGGTTTGCTCTCGGCGCCTGCTCGTCCTGCTCCCCGCGACCGGCAGACAGGCTGCCCTCCGGGAAGTAGAGGCAAAGAGTCGCATGTTTCTTTGTCAGGCCGGACAGCATATTCGACAGCAATCGCCAGGACCTCACAGGACTGACAGCGGCTCTTCAGGCCACGGACCTCGCGGGGGTGCTGCACATGCTCTACGGCGTCCTGTTCCACGGCGCCGTCGCGGACCCCGGCACCGCCAGCCCCAAGGAGAGCTACTCTCAGAGCACGGTCCAGGTGGCCATTCAGAGTCTGCGTTTCTTCAACAGCTTTGCAGCCCTGGACCTGCCCGCTTTTCAGGTACGAAGCGTTGGCTGGCGTTGGTGTGACCGACCACAAGTTCATGTGCAGTGTAGCTAGGAGGTGAGGGTCTTCCTCCGGACCGGGCGGGAGGAATAGACTTCGATAAAGAGATAACTCACAATCTGAGGGTTACATGGAGGACGCCGCGAGCCCGCACACAGTAGGTCCTCGGGAAATGCGGACCAGCGCAGCTTGTGGGGATGAAGGGTTGAGGCACACGTTGCGTGGGAAGGTTCAGTGTTGCCGCGGCAAAGCTGTGTGCTATGGTGTGAGCCTCGCTGTGCCGTAGTAACGTATTTCACTAGAATATTTTCCAGTTTCCGTTTCATTGTATACTAATAAGGCTGTCAGAACATTTTGTCCCTTCAGTACAGAGTGTGGGTTCACTCTGAATTCATGTTGGCACAGATGGCCCTGAGGTCCCGGACATTGTATATCGTCTGGTCTGACACTTTTTACAATTGAAGGTGGTCTCAAGAAACAAATCAATGTACTGACGAGGCAGTTAATTCTGGCTAAAAAGGAAATATAGGTTCCTTGAAAAATTGGTTTAATTTTTATATTCAAACTTACGTGCCCCTTGACCTGCACTTATCAGTGAAGGTTAAACGGAGGGCGCGGGGTCGCAGCATGCTGGACGCAGCTAATTAAATAGGGCCGAGCGAGAAGATGTCACTGCTTGATTTAAAGGGCAGGGGCCCCCGGAGTCTCCCTGGGACTGGAAACGTTTTGTCTCAGGGCAGTGACACCGAGACAGAAGACACTCACATTGAGCAGTAATTGTGTGTCGACAGCACTCCTAACAGGCTGTTCACCGCCAACAGGCAAAGCGCGTTCATGGAAACTTCCAAGCCGCCACCTACCTGGCCTGCTTCAGGCCGGCCCGACCTCAGATCGCAGATGTGTTTAAAGCGCTGCCTTTCCCGTAGCCAGCAGTGGGCTTCCCCCCAGTGTGGGCTGCGGGCCTTTTCTGTGGGCTCGCCTCTCCCCTTTGCCCTCCTGTCACTCTGTTTGACATGTTTATTAAATAGAAGCCCCGGCTGTGCAGGCAGACCCGGCTCTCCCGCGTGCCCACCGCCCACCGCCCTAGCCCTCAGAGAGGCCCTGGAAGCCTCTGAGCTGGGGGGGGGGGTTGTTTTGGGGGGACAGGGGCTGATGGTTGGGTGTTTTACATTCTTTTGGGAGCCTTGGGTTTATAGAGCTGTGTATTTGAATAATTAGTTATTTATCTTTCCTTTCTATTTGAGCATAAGTAAATAATTAGAATTATTTGTATCCCTGTGTACAAGAAAATGTTTTCTCCAGGAAAAAAAAGTATTGGAAGTTAGCTAAATGATAGATTTACAGGCGATTTTTCGTATTTTGATATTTTTCCAAATTTTTCACAGTGAGACTATTTGTACAAAGAGAAAAAATAACTTCCTAAAAAGGGAAGAAATAACCCTGCTTAGGTGTCTTGTCCGTGTGGCCCAGGCATTTGGTCTGCTCTGCTCTGCCTTCTGTCCCTTTGCAGGTTACACCTTGCATTTATTATAGTCACTTCTTAGCACAAGAATCCCCAAGGGGCTGCTAAGCGCTGTGCTCAGAAACTGTATGTGCTCCTCCGGCACCGGCCATGGCAGAGCGGCCGGTCTCACGGTCGGAGCCCCGCTCCCGCTGGGGGCGCTCTAACCGCTCTCTGCCTTTGCCAGTCCATCGTAGGGGCGGAGGGCTTGTCCCTCGCGTTCCGGCACATCGCCAGCTCCCTCCTGGGCCACTGCAGCCACGTCTCCTGTGAAAGCCTGCTTCACGAGGTCATCGTCTGTGTGGGCTACTTCACTGTCAACCACCCGGATAACCAGGTAAGAGGCCCCGGAAGGTTCCGGAGGCTGCACCCCCAGCGCTGAGAGTGAGGTGTGGGGAGTGAGGAAAGGCAGGCTCACCCATCTGGCCTGGGTGAGGGCCTCCAGCAGCCCCAGGGGAGTCGGGAAGTCTCTGACTTCTCTCCAAAGAGGTTGGGTCAGCCTTAGGATAACAGTAGGGCCCCTTGTAGAGCTGGACAACGAAAATGTTGTAATAAAACATTGCTGAGCCGCACAGCAGCATCTGCTCTCCTCCCGCGTGGATTCTGGTCCTGTCTCCGCAGACTTCTTGTTGTGGTGAGGTAGAGCCTGTTTCTGCTGGGCGCCTTGTAGCCAGGGCTCCAGCCCCTGATGGCACTGCTCCTGGCCCTCGGCCTCCCCACCCGCCCGGAGTCAGAGGCCGCCTGCCCGGTGGTGGTGGAGGGGACCTGAGGCAGGCTCCTGAGTCGTTTTGCTTTTAATGGTTTTGATTATTTGGTTTTTGAGCAAGATTTCATTTGTAAATAGGATTCTGCTGCTTTAAGAAGTTGGGAGATCTGTGTTACAGATTTTGTGAAAAAATAATAAAGCACTGTATTTCACTTTATTTGTGAAACCAGAGTTATGGCATAAATAACATATCAAATAGTAATTCCTGGCAACCTCATTTATCTATCGTTTTTATCGTGTAACTGGAAGGTTGTACCTTTCCCCCACCCGCCACCCCTCTATGAATATACTTACATAGCTGCGGTCATGCTGCACACACACTCCTGTCCTGCTTTAGACACTTAACCTATAACAGAACCATTCTTTACAAGTATCGTTTTTAGTGTCTGAATGGCTATTTCTTATGTGGACAGCCCGTGGTTGACCTAACAGTTTCCCGTTTTAAGTTGTTTACCATATGTTACCATGACACCTGCTGCACTTACAGAGGCGAGTGATTTGTGTGTGTGGTAATATTTTGCTGTGTACAGTTCCACAGCAAAAAGTTCAGTTCTATGGACCTTAAAAATAAAACTGCTAGTTATTTTATCAGCAAAAATGTGTTTAACCCTAGCTGATTTGGCTCAGTAGATATAGGGTCGGCCTGCGGACTGAAGGATCCTGGGTTTGATTCTGTCAAGGGCACATGCCTGGGTTGCAAGCTCGATGCCCAGTAGGGGGTGTGCAGGAGGCAGCCGATCGATGATTCTCTCTCATCAGTGATGTTTCTATTTCTCTCTCTCCCTTCCTCTCTGAAATCAATACAAAATATATTTTTAAAATGTGTTTATTTGGGAATAACAGATAATTGCAATTCTGGATAAGCATGCTGTAGCAAAAGACTTTATCAGTAGGTCCAGAAAACAAATGAGAACGTTACTTTATAGAGGAAAGGGAGGGGACCGCAGAGGAGCTTTGGAGAAAAGTCCATCGGAGGAGCGGGAGCGCTTCGCTCATGGGGGCGATGCTTCTCATTGGCTGAGTTGCCAGGGTTCCGTTGGCTGGTGTGTGGCTGGGGAGGAGAAGACCTTCCTGCTGAGAGGCGGGGTATGTGCTGGTGCTGTGGTGCTGAGACGCCCCCTCAGGCCCGACGGCATCGCACAAGGCGGTTTCTTCACGGCGAAGGTGCCGGACAGTTTCAAGCTCCGATAACCACTCTGTGGTGAGAATTACGGAGCTCGGAATCGTGTGGGCTTTCCGAGAGGTTTCCTGTGACGCTGGTCACGGACTGGTCCTCTCCTGTAGGTAAAGCACCTGCTCCGAGTCTCTGGGCTCACCAGACAGGATGGGAAATGGGATCGGGGAGCTGGTGTGTGCAGGTGGCCTGTGACAGCCGACCTAGGCCTGCAGCCAAGCAACGAGTGAGCACGCGGGAACAAGAAAACACATCAAATAGCAACACGAGGAGACAGACCGGGTGCTGGTCAGTGCCGCGTGGATAATTGTTGAGGGTGAGCTCGCTGTGAGGAAGAAATCAGAAAGGTGGGAAGAGCCAGACATCCCTGTCAACCCCTTGCCTCCCAGAAGGACTGGATACCAACCTGGACACCCACTTCCGGTTCAGGGGAAGGTCAGAGAGGTCAGTTCAGCCCCAAGGCAGTGGCTGAAGTGCAGCATCTCTGAGAAGAAAGAATAGGGTAAAAATACAGCAGAAATCATCCGAAATATAAACGATAGTAATTGTCAAACACGGAGACACTGGGCCTTATGCGATGCTGTTTCTAAGCATAATCCCTGATATTTGTGGAATTCTTTATAAATCGTTCCCATCCGCTGCTCCGGGACCCCCTGAGCCCTTCAGTGCGGCTGTAAGTGCAGGAATTGTCCTGCCTCGTGGACAGTGAGGAGCTGGGGTTCTGGGGTGATGCCAGCCCTGAGATGACGTAAGAACCACTAAGACCAGGACTAGATTCCAGGTCCTGCAAAGCCCACCCCGTGTACGTTTCATTTCATTCCGTGTCGCTTAAGGCAATCAGATGTCCACAGCCCCATCTGCTGGTGATCCCTGACGTGTACCCGGGCGGGGAGGGTACCCAGGCATTGAGACGCTGCCACCCTGCGAGTCCTTGCGCCTGGACATCTGTGTGCCTGACTCCGGAGCCGCAAAGGTCCTGGGAAGCTGTGAGTGCGTGTCTGATGAGCACCGGATGGACCACAGGCTGGGAAACAAGCCTGGAGTCTAACCCCACGCCGTCCCTGGCTGAGTGATCTCAGAGAGAGCATTTTCCCTCTGGGGCTGGACCTTTGTGGCTCCGCTAAGAGGTGGATTGGTTCTGGAAATGGATAATGGTGATGGTCGCACAATATTGTGGATACACTTAATGCCACTGAATTGTAGGCTTAAAAATGGTTAGAATAGTAACTTTCATGTTGTATATATTTGCCACAATAAAATCAGTTTTAAAAAAGTGGATGGGCCAAAACCGGTTTGGCTCAGTGGATGGAGCGTCGGCCTGCGGACTGAAGGGTCCCGGGTTCGATTCCGGTCAAGGGCATGTCCCTGGGTTGCGGGCACATCCCCAGTGGGAGATGTGCAGGAGGCAGCTGATTGATGTTTCTCTCTCATCGATGTTTCTAACTCTCTATCTCTCTCCCTTCCTCTCTGTAAAAAATCAATAAAATATATTTTTTTTTAAAAAAAGTGGATGGCTTCTCCTGTGGGAGCCGCCGGGTGGAGAGGAGTGTGGCCTTCTCCTCTCCCCGCCATGGCGTGTGCTCATCCACTGATATCTGTGTTCTCTGAAAAGGGGGAAACATCTGGCAAAAATGTCACTTTGCCTGCTGTGTTCAAGGCTCCCATTCGACCAGATATTGTGAATTTTGTTCACACCAACTTGCGCAAAAACAATAGACAGCCCTATGCTGTCATGAATTGGCAGGTCATCAAACCAGTGCCGAGTCCTGGGGTACTGGCAGAGCTGTGGCTCGAGTTCCCAGAGTCCGAGGTGGTGGAACTCATCATTCTGGCCAGGGTGCTTTTGGAAATATGTGTCGTGGGGGCCACATGTTTGCACCAACCAAAACCTGGCACCGTTGGCACCGCAGAGTAAACACAACACTGAAACGATATGCCATCTGCTCTGCCCTCGCTGCCTCAGCCTTACCAGCACTGGTCATGTCTAAAGGTCACCGTATTGAGGAAGTTCCTGAACTTCCTTTGGTGGTTGAAGATAAAGTTGAAGGCTACAAGAAAACCAGGGAGGCTGTTTTGCTTCTTAAGAAACTTAAGGCCTGGAATGATACAAAAAAGGTCTATGCCTCTCAGCGAATGAGGGCCGGCAAGGGCAAAATGAGAAACCGTCGTCGTATCCAGCGCAGGGGACCTTGTATCATCTATAATGAGGACAACAGTATCATCAAAGCCTCCAGAAACATCCCTGGAATCACTCTGCTTAATGTAAGCAAACTGAACATTTTGAAACTTGCACCTGGAGGGCATGTGGGCCATTTCTGCATTTGGACTGGAAGTGCTTTCCGCAGGTTAGATGAGCTGGATGGCACTTGGCGTAGAGCTGACCCCTCAGTAGTAACTACAGCCTTCCCATGCACAGGATGCTCAGTACAGACGTGAGCAGAATGTTGAAAAGCCCAGAGATCCAAAGAGCCCTCCGAGCACCACGCAAGAAGATTCACCGCAGAGTCCTGAAGAGAATCCACAGAAAACCCTGAGGATCATGTTGAAGCTAAACCCATATGCAGAGACCGTGCGCCAGGACACCATTCTTCGTCAGGCCGAGAACCACAAGCTGCGGGTGGATGAGCAGCAGCAGCACTGGAAGCCAAATCAGGTAAGAAGGGGGTTCCAGGCCAGAAGCCTGTGGTCGGGAAGAAAGGAAAGAAGGCTGTTGGCCTTAAGAAGCAGAAGAAGCCTTTGGTGGGAAAAGGGCTGCAGCTACCAAGAAACCAGCCGCTGAGAAGAAGCCCGCAGAAGAGAAACCCACCACAGAAGAAAGAAGCCTGTGGCGTAAACTTGCATTTGTTTATTCCATACGGTCCGGTCACTGTGGACAGCTAATTTTGAATAAAAATGAGCAAAGGCAATGAGAAACATAAAAAAAAAGTGGATGGTGCTGGATGCTCCCCCGTGAGCCAGGCCCACGCTGTGCTGTCAGCTCACGGCTCTGCATGAAGGACCGGCACCCATTCAGTCTGTGAGCTGGCAGGACCGAGCCCTCACGCCCAGGGCGCCTTCAGCAGACAGCCTGCCGTGGAAGTGGTGCCCGCGTGTGGGGGGTCATCTTTCCGAAGGGTCGCCGTCTCTAATTAAAATGTTGGGTCAGATCAGAAGCATCCTTCTATTGTGTGGCACGTCAGGACTCGTTGTAACTTTCTTCCCATTTAATTATTATAATGAACACAATTAGCATGTGCTGTGAGCCCTTCACCTTATTTGCATTTTATATGGGATAATTAAAAGTGCCCTGATAATTACATTAACTCAGTGACAAATGATTTGACTGCCTGCGTACTGCTGTATGGGGAATAAGCGCCTTTGCATATTCATTTTCGTTAGTGACGGACGTTTCATTTGGAAAGACCCCAGAGAGTGCAGCTGTCAGAGCCCGAACCTCTTAAAGGACTTGAAGGGAAGGGTCCCTGTGGCCCAGCGTCCCCGTCAGTGCCTCTGTGGAGAAGTCCATGCGTCACGTAACCGTCGCCCTGTATGTGCGCGGGCTCCTGCAGGCTCCTGGGGAGAGCAGCATGAGCTGGACGGTGAGGCTCTTGAAACGACATCGGCCTGAGCTGTGACCTGCATTTTCCAGGTCTTGTGTGATTTGGTGATTTAGTAAGAAAACCCAAACATTAATTGACTGATCATCCCTAAACTCTGTCTGTTGTCCTCCCCTCGGCTGCGGCGAGAGCAGGGCTGTTCCCAGTCCTGCACCCTCGGGCCTCAGGGACCCAGAGCGGTGTGTTCCCAGGCACAGCTTTCCAGCCCGGTTCCAGCTCCGAGCCTTCAGAGGCAGCCCAGGTCCTGCTCAAACATTCTCAGTTTGTTCTCCAAGGAGAGGGTCCTCGGTCACAGCCCTGTGCACACTCCCCAGCCTGTCCCCCATGAATGGAGGCCACTGTGGCCTCGGAGGGGCCTCCAGGTCCAGGCCTTCCTGCTCTCAGTGAGTGTGGGCAGCTGGCTCTGTGGCTGTCACGCTGCATCCGGCTTTCTGTGTTTCCTCTCTCTGTGTGACACGTACATTCCTCTTATAAAATAAATGCCACGTCTGAGGAGGAGCCTAGGGGTGTCAACAATATAACCATTTTGGAGTTACCCTCAATATTTCAGCTCAGAGAAAAATATGGCTTTTCCCCCTCAAAAGTAAAATTCAATCAGTTGCACAATAAATTTCCTAATTAAAAGTAAGTTTTGCTTAAATATTTATTTTAAGACTTTTAGTGAGTGACCTGGCTGGGGTTAGAATGGCACTTGCCAGTTGGCAGTTTGGCTGATGGCAGAGAACGTCGCCCAGATCACCGAGTCCAAATAAAGGGCCCTGTTTACTCCCCTCATCTCTTCGGTGAGCTTTCCAACACGTGCTCACGTCAGGGACCCTTTTCCTGCGCAAACCACCCGAGAGTTGTCAGGAGCCCCACGTGTTAGCCTGTGGCTGCCGGGCCGATGCCTGGAGCAGACGCAGCCTCGGCGGAGCCCGCACCTCCCGGGACCAGCACGGCCAGTGACTTGGGGTGCCCGGCTGAGAAAGGGGCCTCCTCCCCGAGGCTGGCTCACCGTGTTCCCACAGACCCCCTGCCTGTGGACGGGGCAGCAGCAGTTCAGGGCCTGGTGCAGCCACAGCCTGAATCGTCTGCAGCTGAAGTTTTGACGTGATCTTTGACGTCCTGAACGTCAGATGCCACAGAGGACAAGAGTGTGGGCCTGACGGGAGCGGCTGGGAACGCCCTGGCTGTCCGGCGCTGTGGCCTTGGCGGGCTACCGAGCGCCGAGCCTCGTCTACTCATCTGTGAAGCGGGGCCACGCGGCCACGACTCCCAGGTGCTGTGTGGAGTGAGGGCGACAGTCGCAGGGAAGCTCGGGAGGCAGCTGCTGCCCACTGGGCTCGCCCTGCATCACCGCTCCATGGCACCGAGCCGCCTCCCGGCGTCACACAGGCCTGCGACGCTCAGGGCCGCACAGACCGGCCATCCTTCCTTCACGGGCCTCCTCAGCTTCTCAGAGTCTGCACACTCCAGTGAAACAGTCACCACCCAGCATTGGAGCCGTGAGGCGGAGCACTAGCCTCGCTTCGTCTCAGCTGGACTGAGAAAGCGGGGAGTCCACCGAGCTGCTTTGGCCGCGGCTGTGAGACTAAGAGCACGAGAGAGCACCTGCCTCCGCCCAAGGGACATGCAGCCAGTCGTCCTCTGAGCTCCACCATCACCGGACTGGGCAGAGCAGAGGAGACGCACGGGGAGACGGCCTGCACCCCTCCCCGGGGTCCTCTGCACAGGCTCCGGTCAGGGGTGCCCCGGCCTCGCGTCCTTGTCCCCGGGAAGCCTTCTCCTGACGGTGGGGTGTGCACAGAAAATAAGATCAGAAGGACGCTCTGTCGGAGGTGAGCGGCTGAGCCGGGCTGAACCTGGGCTGCCTTCGTCTTCAGTCGTGGAGGGGCCTTTGTTCTTAACCCCCCGAGGATATGCTTTCATTAATTTTAGAAAGAGAGAGAAACATCCATCGGTCGTCTCCCATACGTGCCCTGACTGGGGATCAGACCCGCAACCCAGGTCTGTGCTCTGACCAGG